AAACATCTGTGGGGCTTAAAAAGGGAGCTGCGTCATAGCCACATATTAATCACGAAACTCACTTGTAGTGCCAAGGGAGAACAGACACGACGCTCGGCATCAGTCGTTTGTATGGAGGATGGTTGGCTCACACTGACCTTGATTTGTCTAGAGGCCAACTCCGTGTACATATCGTGCCATTGCTTTAGGGACCATCCATGCCAACTCAACACAAATTCCACCAACAGTATGTCGGCGATTGCATCACCAACAGTCGTGTTTGTCAGGCCAATGAAGACGGCCAAAGGGTGAATCGGGTCAAGATTTTGCCTGGCATATTCAATAACCGCGTCGGAAAATAAAACTGTTCCATGTCCATTAGCCTGAGGCAGAAATACATGAGATAGATCAAGGTGAGTGAGGTGGAGTTTCTGGACGGTGGAGAGGAATAGTCAGAAGACTAAGGTTTGTGACAGTCGCATTTCCGTCCCCAAAACAAAAGTAACCACCTCTTTACGGTGACCGTTCGAAAAAGTTCACTAAACTACTTGGTGGTGACACGAACACGGATGCCCTAAGCTTTCGGCAGGACATCTTGCCTCGCTGATCATGGTCGACCGAGACGAATTCGATAATCATACTACTTGGAAAAGAATAAGTAACGAGAGTTAAATGAACTCTATCTGGGCAGCCAGGGTGCCGCAAGTTCATGAGCATGCTGGTCTCAGTAGGACAGTTGACGTTCTATGTTGTACGTATAGTCCAACACAAAACCCCTAGATAAAACAATTACAGTCATCACTCTTTTATTGATAGAGGAGGGACATTGTGGCTGGACTTTGAGGAAAGGACATAACAGCTGGAACCACAATGAACCACAGTGTGTAAAGATGCAAACCTAACACAGTGCACAAGGGACGTGACTGGCTTTAAGGTTTTTTAGTTCTTGAAGTGTACGATTAAGCCTTAAGAGCTTAATTTAGAACCACGAAAAAGAAATGACAGCATTTTTCAATATCAAAAACAAACAGTAAAGAAACAAACCAGCGTTACTTCGGTCAACATCCAGGAAATCAATTGCCAGGCTCGATAAACCACAAAAATTGGTAAACGCTCTGAAATCCTTTGAGAATATGCATCACAGAGTATTTTTGGCATACATTTCGATTGCGGCACACTATTCCATAATCTGGACACACCAGAGGGGATTCGTAACCACTGCCCTATTTCACATCGGGCGCGAGAAGGGCAATCTGAGAAAGTTTCACTCTAATGTTGCTAGGGGATGACTGGGAAAAGCACACCGGTGGTTACGATGGTAACTTGGAAGAACTTCTATGCAGTAGTTCTCACTTCTGACTTCAGGATCCCTGCAACATACAAATATGGCCGGCTTAGTAAAAATAACTATTCGAGGACCAAACTACTGTTCAGTTGGCTGAGTTCCAAACTGCATTCGTCCGGTACGAAATTTGTATATACTGCGGTAACTTTGTTCAAAAAAACGTCAGCTGCCCAGCAGTACTGCTAGGTGGCGAATGCATTTTCGTGAAACCTTGCCCTGTTACCTACACATGCAGCCAGCTCACCTCGTTAAAACGGTAATCCACAATGAAGTTCCGATCATATGATTAACAGTTTGTATCAGACAGCGTTCCGCCAGATGCTCCCGGTTCGCCTTTAGTAAGAATATTTGAATGGTGTACTTAGATTTACTGATGCTCAATAGGCGTGCGTAGCTTTTCCACATTGATTGATTTGTCTGTACCATTACTGTGTCAGAAATATTTTATTCCTGCTTCACTTCTACGTGGACCAGAAGTGCACCGGTTCGGATCCAGTTGTGCAACGAACCCGTAAAAAAGATAAAATCGTTCAGCTGTAGCACCATTTCGGTGCCTAGCTGCCATGCCACACGAAGGTGGCACGAGGGCTGAGATACTGTCAGGTTGTCCAAGCCTAGACAGGGGAAGTCGAGAGGCAGAGGTCGGGTTCTAACCACGGACCTTCCGGTCAGTAAATTCGTGCTCTAACCACTTGAGCCATCCGTAAGCAATTCTAACGATAGACATATTTCCGAAATCCTGCATGTCCGCGCTAGTTCAGTGGTGTCAGGCCAGTGTGTACACATAGAAACAGATAGAAACAGATAGACAGATAGATAGAAACATAGAAACAGATAGCTTTTAACAATTGAAGCAAAAATTCTCGTAACAACGATAGTGCCTCAGTTCAATTCTCAATTTGATTCTCACAAACTGGCGTTTTAAGCAAAAGAACCAGTGTTTCAGGCGGCCAAAATCAGGTCAAAAAACCATAGTATAAAGCATCGTGTCTAAAGTGCATGCCGCTGTAATACTATGAAAATTCGGGCGCATTCTGCATGCAACATTGGTAACGGCATCCAGCAGAAACTGAAACAAGACTGACTGTTGGGTTCACATTTTCGACCAGTCAGAGCTTGCCTTGATGCTGGGTCAGCAAGCAGCCCGATCTGACCAATCATGAGTGGGTTAGGCCGTAGCAGTGCCTGACCGCAAGCGATAAGGCGGTTCCGGTGAGGAATTCCGCCCAACACTTCCAGTAAATTTTCCGTCAGACGCCCGACTGAAGTATGATTCTGCGGAAGACTTATTATGTGACTTTTGTGTAAGTCTCTTTCTACGACATAACACTAGTAATGTAACGGTGATACCACTGATGGGGGGCATGAGAGTAGTACGTTTTCTCGTAAATCCGCTTTGCGTCTCTTGAAAAGTGACATTTATTACGGAATTTTTGGAGTCGCTCTGTAGCATTTGCTTTCCATTGAGTACCAGTCAATGAATATCCCGGAAATTTCAGCATGACACGTTCAAGGAGGAGATGAGTATTCAGTTTTGTAAACAAAATGCATATGAGAGTTTTGCTCCCTGTCCAATAGTCTGTAACTGTTCAGTTGGCATTTTTTAATAACTCCGCAGTAAAGGCCTTCTTCCTTTCACTAGTAGGGTTGCTAAGACCTCTTCAACAGCCTATTTCTAGAAGCTCGCCAGGTATGCACAGTGCCCCCGAGTTCCAATCAGCCTTGCTGAACTCGAAATTATACACAACTGGCAAAATATACTTATTCGCAAATTAAGTTGACCGAATTTCTAGCTGAGTCTCTCGTTTACACTATCACCACCAACCAACCGAAACATCCAGAACGGACAAACGGTGTGGCACGGATTCGAAAGATTGAAACACGAAAGTGTACAGTCCAAAGGATGTGTACTACGTCGGACTAATCCAATCATGTCTGACGAATAACGCGCTAATGGTGCAAACGCGGAGACATTTACCTCGAAATATATTCCGAAGTCGAAATCCAGTGCAGCTCGGTGTAGATGTTTCACTCCGGTTGGCACACAGAGAACCGTTACTGTTAATTCGTCGCGTAAGTACAGAGTGGACGAGGCGTTCGCGTAGGCCGTTTGTACCACACCGACTTTGAACCTCTCGGTTAGAAGAGACTCGCGCAGTATCGTAGTCAAGAAGCTCGCAAACAGACAGGCGATGCGGTCTCCATCCAGCAGGACGATACGAGATGGATGTAGAAGGTCATCCGGACCCGTTTCGGGTGTGTGGTAGAAGTACAACAAACGATCTGCGTCCCCATCGATAGTGGCCCAGCGAGCTTCCAATGAACAGGAGGCATCCATGTCTGAAGGGTAGAGCTCAGGTGCCTTTAGTGTTATCTAAATAGGGAAAATAAACAATCGCTGAGGTGAAACGAACGTGAATATGGTGGATATAGCTAATGAACCGAAAGGACTAGCACTTTCAGGAAGCAAATAATTGTCAGTAGCCTTTACGGGATTAGTCTCTCAAGTCTGTCGCTTCGTAGGATCATCTAGCTTTCTGAGCATGACGTTTTTCGGTGGTTTGTACCGGATACTACCCCCAGCGTCTTGTGCAAGTGTGGTCTTACCTTCATACAAGGAGCTTCTATCTTGGGGCCATTGAAATTTCCAATTCCAACCCCACATACTTGATGTCGAGCCTGGGTCGCCAATTACATTCAAGCACATTTGGTTATACCAAGAACACAGACATGTCACATAAACTGGATACGGGTCCTTTTGTCGACTGACCTAGCTTCCATGTGTCAAAAATCAAACAATTCAACAGCACTGCTACCACGTAACCAACAGCAAGCACGAAAGCGAGCCCGAATCCAAACCGAGAATAAGCAGAGGGCTAGGAGTGGGTTTGGACTACGGATCTTCAGATAAGGAGATCTCACCATAATCTGTGCGCTACCCTGAACTCCAGACACAATTCTAAACCATGGTGAAGCCAAATGGCGATCACAGTAAATCAAAGCGATTTGGCATCATGGGTAACTTTGCACTATCATTTTGTATCGGACAATCACTGCCCAGCTGAAGGCAAACAAAGGACAAAGTCATGTAGTCAGCAACGCAAGCGGAGCACTGCAAACAGGCATTCCAGGAGCGAGTTTTTTTTCTTGACTGACTACCGGGTTTACGACAGGGACCACTCCTCTCGTGCCTCTTTCCGAAAAGTATCCATCGTGAGGAATGCACTGATCCATACACTAGCACCACAGATGGCTGGTGTTGATCGTAGTGCGTCATTGGGCTGTAGCACGCTCAATATGGATCGTAAATACCAAGAGGAGATAGCTGTACGAAATCGGAACAGATATATGAAGTAAAATGGACCAATCGAACAATACACATCACCAACCTTCACAAAGTCTGCTCCACAGTTTGAATTCAGTAGTTCTCGCTTGTTCACTTCTGTATTGAACAGACGGAACCGAATCGGTGCCGGCTGACCACACTGGGCCAGAGTGGCATTCAACTTCGCCAACGCCAGGCTTCCAACACCATGAGCACAGTCTACATTCAGCTCAATCGGATGGCGAGTATGAACGGATTCTGTTGTCAAGGCATTCATACCAGCAGTAAACTGACTGGCAAAATACTCGATGTAAACCCGATCTAGGTCCGGTTGGAGGAGATAATCAGAGGGCTCCGAAGCTGTTGCAGTGTTCTTGAAACAAAGAAACGAATATCGATTAGGATTTTGGAATAAACATTAGTCAGCTAATTAAATCTAAGGCAGCCTAACTACTGCATAGGCGCATCAAAGAGATAATCATTCAGCTGCAACCCTCTTTCTGTGCCAAACTACCACGCTACTCGGAGGAAGCACGAGGGCTGGGATACTACCAGGCTGCCCAACCATAGACAAGGGAAGTCGAAATAAGGTCGGGTTCGAACCACGGACCTTTCGGCCAGTAAATTCAGGCTCCAACCACTGAGCCATTTTGTCCCACAAGCACATCAATGCTTCCCGCGATGGAACCGGAGAGTGTCCACTAATTCTTGCCAAGTGTTCGGCTGACGGTTACAGCTTGAACATTTTCACAATGCCATACAAGGGCGCATATGACCTAACGAATGTCAGGCTCACACAAACAGGCGCGCATTCACTGCCAAAGTTAAACGAAACTCACCATGTACCGAACAGCATAGTGTAGCTGTGGAGTTGTAATCAACCCAAGCTGGGTGCAGAGGCCCTGCATCAGATGGACCCCTTGAACGACCTCTTCTGCCAAAGATGGCGAACTCTCCCGCGTATCATAGCCCACAACAACATGTGGAGTCAATGTGTCTGTTCCAGGGACACAGTAAAAAGTTAGAAATGTGGCATGTAACAGGTGGCACCGTCAAGGCAGTACAAAATAATGGCCCGGTAATTTGATTTCAGTGGAACTCATTCGGTATCTCACTGGCATAAGGGCAACAAGTTACAACATGCTATAAACCGATGGATACTGACTGGGAAAAACAGTAGGAGCTGCACGAACAGTAAGTACACTGACGGACATTGAACAGGCACAATAAAGTCCCACCAATAAAGAGATCTCAATGAGCCAAACAATGGATTTGAAGCACGGTGACGCGAGATTGAAATCCCTTACAGGAGACAACATGATTCTCAGCAACGTGGACATTTGTGTGGTGCCAGTCAACCTGCTGTATCCCTTGAATTCGCATGTAGATGAGTTCAAGTCGTTAGTGAACAAGCAGAACTCGAGAAAGTGAAAGTGGCACATCAAATGACTATGTGAGAACATTGCTTCTGCAGGGGGGCGTGTGTTTAGATGCAACGCATGTTGGCGTTATCTACCTTCATCTATCCACAGTTGAAAAATCAATGAATACTTTATTAGGACTTTCTTTTTTAGTGTCAGTGATTTGCTTCCTCCACATCCTCTTGTTCACGCGTCCCTAGATAACACCACCCTACGTAGCTCATATTCCTGTTATTCCCTAGGTGGCGACGAAGTGAATCGCCCAGAGGCGTATGACTTACACTGTAAGCCTCAAAACCGACAAGCCGGCATTCTGATAAGATTATTTGAACTCATCGTTTTGTGACATTTTACTGCGCCAATCAAAATACACAGATGTCAGAACATGTAATAATAACTAAGGAACACCAAACAGTCAGAGAGTATGCAAAGGCGGGACATTTTAGTCGAGTTAACAAATAAGGAGCCAGGAGAGAGTAAAGTATAGTGATCCACATATCGGAAAAAGGAAGACAGCGATAGATACTGGAAGAAAGAAGGGGTCGACTTCCAGGTTCTATACAAGAATAGGGCTGGTGCTAACACTATCTCCCTCGGGTAAATAGGCCCCGTGTCGACCATCTAATTACCACATTCTGTACTTAAAGAAGAAGGGCACTAGGTCCCTCCGCCGACTGACTATCCGAAGTACATCCAGCGTAGCAATCCAACCCACGTCTTTACAGATAGTGTTTTGTCAACAGCTCTAAATAATCACGTCAAGGTGAATGCCCTCAAGTCCGTATAAATAACAGCACTTGTGCTCTACCTAGGTACTTGCTCCCACGGTGACATTCCTACTTACAAGTGCAGACTAGGGTTGACTGAATAGTTGGGCCATATTCTACCAATGGAACGAGAATTCTCGTCTTGTATGGATAGGTTGAATCAAATGAAACGTACACTACACAACCCAATTGAAACGGCAACTAATGCTGGCGGTGGTGTCATCCTCCGTAAGTAATAGACACAAACAATTTCTTTCGAAAAACTCCAGGATATCCGATCCGTAGTGGCAGACCAAAATTATATAGTTTTGGCAGCTATACGATCGAGTACAATGGATTCCTTTTAACCTAAAAGAGACGCTGGATAGGGTCGTCAACTTAAGCTTGGCTTCACAGTGCTTTCAGCAATTCCTATATGCATGGTTCTATCTCGTTCTCGGACCTTAGGTAAATTCGATCCCTTCTTCTCAGGTCACATCCGTTTTAAACGTTTGTGTTCTGTCCAGCATTACACTGTCAAATCTTTCAACTAGTCTCGACCAAAGAGAAGACTGAGTTCATTCAGAAGATGCAATGATAGTGCCCATGTTTATTGTGATAAAGGTAGATGATGGAACAAGATGTGGGGATTAAACCTGTTGTTCGTGTTCGAATCAAATCTGTCTAGCGTCCTCACTCCATCAAGGCAGATCGGTCCGGAGGGCCCAGACCATCCTCCGGGTGATCAGACGCATGCTACTGGGGATCAATCAACCGAGTTTTCATTTTTCTCAAAAATTTCAAAGTGTCTGGCTGTGCTCAGCGACTTTTGTGCATATTAGACACGTATACTCGGAACGACTAATAGTGATACTGGCCATCTGGTAACCAAACCAAACCGTAGGAAAGAATGAAGCCCAGTGTGAACCACGGATTCGTCAAAACAACCCAAGGGGATATTGTCAAATATGTCAAATGATTGCCACTTCGACGCCAAGCAACCGTCTGCTAGAAAAAACGGAATATTCAATAGATCGGAGCTTAAGATAGTTCGGCCGTTAAAGGGCGAACTTATTGACCGGAAGGCACTTGGTTCGAACCAGAGCTCGGCACCCCGACCGGCCCTGCTTAGGCTTGAGTAACCTGGAATTGTCTCAGCCTTCGTGCATTATTCAGGTGGCATGGTAGCCATGCACCGGAAGGGTGTTACCAACAGACCGAAGAGGCAACAGGTACGGAAGCTGTGGCAAATGTTAGCGACTACGGAAGAAATTTTTCCTCCTGCTACAAACAGCCTGGAGGCGACCATCTGATCAGTTTATTCTGCGCGCTACATCTGATGAAGTAAATTTCGACACTAGTGGACAGCATATTCACGGCTCTTCGACTGCGAAAAGCAGCTAACGTCTCCTTTCAGTGAAACTCTTCGCACAACTGTGGCCCTCCAACGAAAAAAAGAAAGACACCGAACAAGTTATCGGTTCAGCCTGTTATACACTAACGTCGTGTTAAACTGTTTACTCGCTATTCATTAAACTGTTTCATAACGTTTTAATTGATGTACTGAAATCGTTAGAATCGGCAATCCTTGTTCTCTATTTCTGGCTCAATCATTCGAGTGCGCAACACAGCCAAAGGCCAAAAAAACTGTGGTTCGAACCCAAGTCCAATTTTCGACTGCTCCTGTCTAGGCCCGGGCAAAGTGGCAGTATCATATCCCTCGTGTCTTCTTCGAGTTGCATGGCGGATATGCATGAAAGGATGCCATGCTTATCCTTACTATTTCTTATTTGTAACCGATCAGTTGAAAAGCCGCAGAGTCCTGAATGAAGATGGAATTGAATGGCAGACCAACCAGTTAAGCCCATTGTCGCGATCTCACTAAATAGTACGCATGGTAAAAAATAGTTGACCTTTGACTTATCAATCAGATCCAACAACTTTCAGTGCAATCTAAAATACTGAACTTTGTGCTCGACCGGATAGAGCAGCAAATGTTCAACGGATACAGTGGTCCGACAGCGAATAGAAGGTATCAATGACGAACACTGAATTAGTCGACGGCATTGTCTCCCTCGCTGGAAATCATGAGCTTACAGCAAGTCTACAAAAATCCAGCACAATGTTCACTTCCTCACTCTCAAAAAGTAGTCTTTTCACTATATGTATCTAAACCTGTATGCTAACGTTGATGAAATGGTGCTGACTGCACTTACGCAAATGGGGCGTCTACTGTGTAGAATAGACAAGGTAATCTGATGACGAAGGCTCGATCACCAACTTTCTACTGGACATGTTTTACTTTATGCTTTGGAAACTTGACTGATGCCACTGGTGTTAGTTTCGTGGATAGAACGAACTGACATCGCTTGGCTTGATCAGCGGACCCAGATCAACCTATTCTGATGGTCTATGTGTTCTTCGCTTAATAAATACCAATATAATCAGATCCGTGATGATATTAGCGTGATTGTCTAATTGGTCAAATAAAATCCTGCAAATAAAATCCTGTTGAATACTTGGATTTGCATGTTGTGTATCGCCTAGGCTGTTAGAGTCAACGAATGAACACCCCAGGGAGCAGTACCACCGATCACCGGTCTCCGGGATACCGGTTCATCCTCAAACAAAGGGTAGTCGAACTGGAGTGGAAAGTGCTCAACTAGCAAATGCGGCCATAGCAACCACCGAATGACTCGGATGGCTACAGAGGTCTCCTAAACGAACCCACCGAACAAGTGAGGATGAGACATGATGGTACATCAACAGGATTCTAAGATGAACCGAATGGGAAGTCAGAAGGAACCTGACAAGCCTAGAAGGTGAATGTGGATTTAACAACGATACACAGAAAACTTACCCTGTACATGTTTCAATCTCTTCTCGATCCAGTGAGCCGTGAGATTCGCATTGCAGTGCATGAAATCAACAACAACAGATTCCCAGTTAGTCTCCAGCATTCCCCCATCAGGATCGACAATTTTTATACCGTTGTCGTGTGACGGATTGTGGGAGGCTGTAATCATAACCCCAACGAATTTTCCATTCTAGGAGGAAAAGTTAAACGGTTTACAGTGAATTACCCTAAGAAGAGAACGCAACGCAGCTAGCACTCCAACCCGCAAAGAAACACCCTTGAGCTTTTCAGAGAAACACCGGAACCCAGCTGTTCCATAAGCAAGACAAAACGGGGTTGGAATGCAGACCCCAGTAAGGGCATCTGCAACAGCCTTACGAATAGTGGCGGTGGCCATCGAAACAGAAAATCTGAAAGAACACAAAAAAAACGATCAAGTGACAATCGGTTGGACAACCTTATTCAGCAACGGACAAAACCAGATGGATGGAGGGAAAAGTTTTAGATTTTGAAGTGGAAGAAGGTACTTTGAGACACAAGGCCATAACAGAAAACAAGTAGACTACGTTATATATATATATATATATATATATATATATATATATATATACCAGCCTCGGAGTGATACGTTAGAGTAGATCTGTTGCTTCTTTGAAAGCTTGCCTAAGTGTTGCCGCTGAAAGTCTAAAACCTCTGTTTCGATGACACCGAAACAGTCCCGTTTGCTCAGTCAGTTAAGCAGATAACTCACAAGGGAATAGTCCTGCAGTATTTAGGTATCAAATCGATGTACGTAAATTATTAGTTCAGTTACTAATCGGAGCTTTGTTGTGCTGCATGCGGATGCCCGTGTTGGCCCCACCTGGAGGTTGTCCGACTCGGTGGCGTAATACCTTGTTTTAAGTAGGTCCCTTTTCTTAAGAACCAACTAATTGGATATGTGCGCCCAGTTAGGGGCTGTTGAAGGCTATTTCGGAGTTCGTCAGTGTGAATATCCCGTTCCGGTTGAACTCCTGGATTGTCTCGCTGGCTTATCGACTCTGTAGGGTGTCGACGTGTAAACTTAGTGACATGACATCTGCATACACTTAGTGGATCCGAAGAATTTGCCGTCGCGTAAGTTAACCGCATTTCCTATATATCTTCAAGCACCCCTACGGGCTATGGCGACGTGTTCCAATGTGCCTGTGTTCAACCGTCCAAACTGGACGTGCGCTTCCTGGTTAAACAGGGTTCCACGGTCGATATGTCTACCCGTTGCGATCGCTCTGCTACACTCCCATTGGCTGCACTTCCACCGCTTTGTTAGCGACCTAATCGGGTGGATTTGTGTGAGAGGGTGGGTATGTTGGTGTGTCGTTCATGTGAGCCTAACGCGCGTGCGCACGCCATAGGTCTATTCCGACTGTATGAGTCAGCTTCGGTTTGTCGTGCGCGTGACCCAAAACCCGTGCAAATGTTACCAGTTCTGAAACGTGTGCTGGGCACGAGAGCAGGCAGTCTAAGCGAACACGCCTGGGGCAGTGGTGGGGGTGGGGATGAGAACAATGGGGGCTGTAGCTAAGTCACCCTAGGGTTACGAGACAAACGTACATTGTGTGATCGACTTAGATAGATAGGCAGACAAACGGTTTCAACAACTATGCACACTCGGTCAAAGCTGCGCCCACATGCATCAGCCAGGGTTAAGTCCTAGCTGGGCATCCTATTGACAGCCTGCACCGATCTACGGACAAAACGATTTTGACGTGTTCCAAACTTAAATCCGTGTGCAAGTTGTCGTGGATCGCCGGATGGAAGAAAGTAAGTCCAGCGTCGCAGACAGCATACGCCTGTTTTGTAGACGCGTAGACAAAGAACCTGGACACGCGAACTCTGTAGGCACGATACCTATTTGATTGGCTTCTGACACGTGCATAGTGAAGTCAGCGCGGAAATTACAGAGGTGCAGAATGTGGTACACGACACTGCCGAGGTCTGTAATGTGACGAATTAGCAGTCAAATCAAACTGACAATGCGCTCAGCTCGTCATAAGACTGAATGGGCAGCCTTGAAATAAATCCTTGATTAATGGATAATCCAAGGGCAAATGCATCGCAGTAATACTTTCTCTGCATCCACAGCGCTGGATTACCGTTAGAAACATGACGGGATCCATTTCAGTTGTGCTCTTATGGACTGATCTCGACGGTGCTATTGATTGTGGTCAAGAAGCGACTAGCCATCAGTGCAGTCTGCAGACGACTAAAGCTGAAGATCCAATCTACCTAGACGATGCGCGTTGTTATCCCAATCGCCTTAGATATCCGCAGTCACACTCGTTTTGACTTGGGGTACCTCCGTCCTCAAGCTTCCTCCACCACCATCACTCGGTCAGCAAGTTGGGTCTGATTAGGGTTTCGGGCTTAGAAGAGGGCATTAGTGAACTAATTCACCAGGGTTTGTTTGTTAGGAAGAAGAGCTTTTAAAAAGAACGCTGATCTTTAAAAGTCACCCAGAGAAATTTACCAACATCCACAGCATCCCACGGTCTAAGCGGGAGCCTGACTGTTCAGTAGAAAAAGGAAGGTTTTTTTAGCAGAATGCAGTTTACGTCCGTACGACGCATCCATACCCAGCCGCTCAACTAATACCGCTCGCACCAACGAAACAAGTCAATCTCCGATGTATGCTGTCTATTGTACCCAATCTTTCTACCTCGCTGCGTATTAGTTCATATGCAGTGGCGGTGAAATATACATTAACAGAACAGAGCTTCTGGGAGCGCGTCTCGTTATTTGAGTCGGGTGATCAACTGACGAACCTATGTCTCGTAGGCCGAGACCCGAAAGCCAGCCTAATCGATCGCCTGACATTCTACCCACTACATACCCACCTGACCGCAGTACAACGTTCCGTATTTGGCTCAACAATGTCGACTCGAAATTGTTAGCTTTTACGTTGACACATGCCACCAGCTTGAGTCGGTCTTAAGAGACGGACCTGATTGGCCCACCATACGACTGACCCCGTTCCACCGTTTTAATGGTATTTTTCCCTATTTGTGGTGTATAGCTGAAGTTTTTTTTAGTATTGCGGATGAAGAGATAAAAGCGAAATGTCGACAGTCCGCTGCCTTTGTCTTCTTACTGCATCTTATTCAACTGGTCATCATTCTTCAGGGTGGATCTGATAGATACCATACAATGGGCTTTAAATTCTACCTGGTTTACTCAGTATACATTGTGTTCAGTCAGGTGAGCTGGAGTCGGAAGTACTTCATGAATTTTCTTTGTGAAATATCCTTACATTTACATCCTCATCTGTTGCCGTTTGTATGGTCAAAGGCATACCGAAAAGATACACTGACACGCTCACTGACGATACTTGTCTACCGCCTTCAGTGTGTTTTGGGATATGATAGTTGCTAACTACTCCACTCACTGAATCTAATGCGATTGAACTTTTACTTCCGGTCAATCTACCACCCTCCTAGACCAAGATTGAAGACAGTACGTGTCCAAGGCATAAAAGATTTACGGTATTAAGTGTCCTTTGTCGTTTATGAAATAGGGATATGGGTTTTGCGCATTACCACCTAACAGCGGAAATCGATGCTTCATTTTCGTCCCCTCTAGTAGGTGTCGCACAGAACTATTCCTTAGTTTCTCTCCCAACACTACATGACTTTCCATCCAATACGACTTCCAATTATCCGAGTTCATGGTTGTTAATTTGTCTGCTTTATACGTGCGACTTCTCTTCCCATAGTTCCTCTGACTATCTGGATGTTATTTTGTGCGCAGTCCGTTTCCTTCGGTCATCCTCACAACTCGGTCTCCGATCGTGGGTCCTTCCTCTCCCTGCAGTCCACTAGGTTAGTAACAAAAGAAACAATTCCGGCTGAACGCCTCAGAACAGTACAGCTTCGCGTTCATTCATCTTTCATTGGTTTTCCGCTATTTGAAGAAGTTCTGACTGTTAGGCCTCATTCAATGAAACTGTTACACTCAGAACGAAAACTGACATCACTAGAACATGTTTTAAGTCCTATTGGTGGAGGTCCGTAATTTTCATACTTTTCGTTTGCATCGCTTACTTGGGCTGCCGCTGAGTTTCAGGCTAACGGTACGTATTTATTCAGCGTGCGGAAAGGAGACGAACTGACTAGTTTTATGAAGCTTAAGAAAGTCATGTCCTAGCAAAATATCTGCACAGAGGCCACGTAATACTGAAAACTTGAAAGGGGGATACTTGTTTTGTTTGTGTTGCCACGTTAAAAAGCAATGTCCAAGAGTAAAGCTTTTGTGCTGGATAGATGCCAAAGTTATCTCAGATGACGATGGCAGTACAGACCACTTTTTACGACGGACTACCTTTTCGGAAATGAAACCTTCTGAGCTACCAGTATAAACAAGAGCTCGAAGCGGGACACCATTGGCTTTCACATCGGTGACTGCTTTTTTTAGACACTCGGGAGCCGCTGCAATGACGCAAGATAGCGCACTTGGAACAGATAAGGTGTTCCGCGGACCAGTAGATCTGCAAACCTTTTGAAAATGCCCTTTCTTCCCACAGCTTTTGCAGGTCGCATCCTTAGCGGGGCATTTATATCTCGGGTGACGAGCATAGCCACAGAAGAAACATGAAGCACACACACTGGCAGCAGTCGTCTGCTCGTGCGATGACGTTTGAGAACGTGGAGACTTTGGTGGGTCGTTCGATACGGTGGCACGGCACGACAACTTGGTGGGTCGTTCGATACGGTGGCACAGGTGGCACGACAACGACTGTTTTTGCGCTAGTTCGATGGACTTTGCATGGTCGTATGCGGTTTTAAGATCCACCGACTTATGTTCCAGCAGTCTCTGACGTA